AAATTAATTATAACATGTAGTTTCTGAGATTTCGTGATGAGTGAGTGAGTCATCAGTCAGTGACCTTTCGCTTTTATAATATTACAGAGATTCGTCAACAGTCTTATCTATCCTACAGGAACAACAATATCTAGTCCGTTGCGCGGCACGCATCACAGCGCTACAGCCTAAAGTAGTTTTAGTCCGCGGGGGCGCAGCCCGGGCCGTGCAGGATGCTCTCAGGGCCGCGGGCGTAGCCCTGGCCGCCAGGCTCGGGGACAAAGCCCTGCAGAGAACAGCCAGATGTTCAAGAGCTGATCTCGTGGCTTCTATTGATGCTAGGATCGGAACTCCTAGGCTGGGAACAGCGGAGAGATTCTATATTAAAAATTGTAAGTACCTTATAAAATGTAAGGCTCGGGGACAAAGCCCTGCAGAGAACAGCCAGATGTTCACGGGCTGATCTCGTGGCTTCTATTGACGCTAGGATTAAAACTCCTAGGCTGGGAACGGCGGAACGATTCTATATTAAAAATTGTAAGTACCTTATAAAATGTAAGGCTCAGAGATAAGCCCTGGAGAGAACAGCCAGATGTTCAAGAGCTGATCTGGTGGCTTCTATTGACGCTAGGATCGGAACGCCTAGGCTGGGAACGGCGGAGAGATTCTATATTAAAAATTGTAAGTACCTTATAAAATGTAAGGCTCAGAGATAAGCCCTGGAGAGAACTGCCAGATGTTCAAGAGCTGATCTCGTGGCTTCTATTGACGCTAAAATTGGAACGCCTAGGCTGGGGACTGCGGAGAGATTCTATATTAAAAATTGTAAGTAATTTTGGACTTTATCTATAATAGGCTAAGATATAAAGTATAAGGCTCAGAGATAAGCCCTGCAGAGGACTGCTAGATGCTCACGAGCTGACCTGGTGGCTTCTATTGACGCTAGAATTGGAACGCCTAGGATGGGAACCGCGGAACGATTCTATATTAAAAATTGTAAGTAACTTAAGAGGCTAAGATACTCCTATAAAATGTAAGGCTCAGTGATAAGCCCTGCAGAGAACTGCTAGATGTTCAAGAGCTGACCTGGTGGCTTCTATCGACGCTAGGATTGGAACGCCTAGACTGGGAACAGCGGAACGATTCTATGTATTAAAAGTTGTAAGTAATTTAGAACCTTATCTCTAAGAGTTTAAGGTATAAGATTCAGGAACCAGCCAGGTTAGAGATAGCCCTACGCAGGATGCTCTCAGGGCCGCGGGCGTAGCCCTAGCTGCCAGGCTCGGGGACAAAGCCCTGCAGAGAACAGCCAGATGTTCAAGAGCTGATCTCGTGGCTTCTATTGATGCTAGGATCGGAACGCCTAGGCTGGGAACAGCAGAGAGATTCTATATAAAAAATTGTAAGTACCTTATGTATAATAGGCTAAGATATAAAGTTTAAGGCTCAGATATAAGCCCTGCAGAGAACAGCCAGATGCTCACGAGCTGACCTGGTGGCTTCTATTGATGTGAGAATTGGAACGCCTAGGCTGGGGACTGCGGAACGATTCTATATTAAAAATTGTAAGTACCTTACCTATAAGATGCTAAGATATAGCACATAAGGCTCAGTAATAAACCCTGCAGAGAACAGCCAGATGTTCAAGAGCTGATCTCGTGGCTTCTATTGACGCTAGGATTGGAACGCCTAGGCTGGGGACTGCGGAGAGATTCTATATTAAAAATTGTAAGTGGCTTATCTATAAGAGGCTAAGATATAAAGTCTAAGGCTCAGATATAAGCCCTGCAGAGGACAGCCAGATGTTCACGAGCTGATCTGGTGGCTTCTATTGATGCTAGGATTGGAACGCCTAGACAGCGAAATGATTCTATAAAATTATAAGTAATTATGAATCTTATTTAAAAGAGGTGAAGGTGTAAACTCCTCATCATAATAGTCCTCATTGTCAACGATCTAAAAATTTTAAACCGAATCATATTGCTTTTACTAATCACATTTCTCTTTCATTTTTAGATTCGAGCAAAACCCTGATGGTGTTAGAAGGCTGCGCAGAACCTCAGTTGGGATGCTGCATCCTCCTTAGAGGAGCGTCCTTACAAGAACTGATTAGGGTTAAAAAAGTAGTCAAATTCATGGTACTAGCATGCTACAACTGGAAACTAGAGAAAGCATTCCTAGGTGATATAGAAGCTGTATTACCCGAACCGGGTATGACTTTTGATGACGATGAAGAAGAAATTGCAAAAGATAACAAAGAAGGATCATTTTCAATGAATAATGACGCTGGACCTAATGAAAAGGATACGAGTGTCGGTGAATCGGACATAATTAATGATGAAGAAAAAGATAATAGTGACAATAGCGAAGTGTTTAAGGATGCTGTGTTGAGTGCCAATGATGCAAAGAGTAATGATTCGAAAGATAATGATGCAAAGTGTAATGATTTGAAAGATAACGATAAGAAGGAGCCAGATGATCCGTTGCAGAGGACGAAGTTTGTTCGCAAAGCGGATAGTGAGAAAAACTTTAGCTGTGGGGTTCCGATAAGGGATTTTAGTGATCCGCTAAGAGCAACCCTGTCGGTGGACGATGATGTGTTCTTGCCGAAAGAAGAAGCTAAACTGCAGGCTGACACGCACAGCGACCGGTAAGTTGTAAGAACTGATTTAGTTGATATTTTGTGTTTCGTTGTATAGTTTTGATATGATTTGTTATCGCAGTGAAATCAGTAGGTACGCTGTAGTTGTAATCATTACTAGCTTCATTAATGACACCTTTGGAAAATTATTTTGGCGATAAAATTTAATAAAATCTACTTACTCCTGCATTCTTATTCAGTACGTCTACCTGCTTCAGCCAAATGACGTATACTAATGAGCAAATATTTCCACAATGACCGGTATTCCAGATGCTTCCCGACCTTTGCAAGACGATAGGACCGAGTAAGATAGGGCTAGGTACAGACTACGTCTTCCGATCCGTTGCCACTAAGTATTTTTCTGCTCCAATGGCGTAGCCCGCAAAACAGCTACGAACGAACGAAAACTGACTATTCTTATCCTTGTTTCGCCACAGCTGGTCGACAGACGACGTAGTGTTGTCCATGTCTCCGCACACTGTAATCCCCGCGCCGTACCTCGAGACGGAGGCGGGGCGTCGCTGCCCGCTGCGGCGCTACTTCCCGCAGCCGCTGCTACCGCACGCCCCGCACACGCCCCGCGCGCTGCACCGCAAGATGAGCCGCCAGCAGGACAGCGGGCCCACGCTGAAGGTCAGTGGCCAACCAACTTCCAAACAGTATACTATTCCTACCGCTGCAACTCCTGTGTAGCCAGGATCTACAGCTTGACCGCCAATAAAAACCCAACCAGTAAAAATCAAGTTTGTCCCGGGGGAAAATTAACTGTCATTGGACCCGCAACGAAATTTATAAGGAGAACATAGGCGAAGTTTGAAATTAAGGTTCGACTTCCCTAAGCGGATGACAGGTGACGAACAAAGGTTTAGTAAACTTTAAAACACGCCCCGCGCGCTGCACCGCAAGATGAGCCGCCAACAAGACAGCGGGCCCGCGCTGAAGGTCAGTGGTCAGTAGAGACGGAGGCGGGGCGTCGCTGCGGCGCTACTCCCCGCACACGCCCCGCGCGCTGCACCGCAAGATGAGCCGCCAACAAGACAGCGGGCCCGCGCTGAAGGTCAGTGGTCCCGTGTAGAGACAGAGGCGGGGCGTTCTGCGGCGCTACTCCCCGCACACGCCCCGCGCGCTGCACCGCAAGATGAGCCGCCAACAAGACAGCGGGCCCGCGCTGAAGGTCAGTGGCCCCGTGTAGAGACGGAGGCGGGGCGTCACACGCCCCGCGCGCTGCACCGCAAGATGAGCCGCCAACAAGACAGCGGGCCCGCGCTGAAGGTCAGTGGCCCCGTGTAGAGACGGAGGCGGGGCGTCGCTGCGGCGCTACTCCCCGCACACGCCCCGCGCGCTGCACCGCAAGATGAGCCGCCAACAAGACAGCGGGCCCGCGCTGAAGGTCAGTGGTCAGTAGAGACGGAGGCGGGGCGTCGCTGCGGCGCTACTCCCCGCACACGCCCCGCGCGCTGCACCGCAAGATGAGCCGCCAACAAGACAGCGGGCCCGCGCTGAAGGTCAGTGGCCCCGTGTAGAGACGGAGGCGGGGCGTCGCTGCAGCGCTACTCCCCGCATCCGCTGCTGCCGCGCGCCCCCCCACATACATCCAGCGTCGGACTGGCCATACAGTCGGGGTGGCATTTGCCAGCCGGGCCCCAGCCTGCGCGGGCCCCCCACGGGCCTGGGTTGCGGGGCATGCGGCAACCGTAGCACAGAGGGCCCGCGCAGGGCCGTCTTTAACCTATTAGGGGCCCTGGGCACTTAAAGATCAAGGGGGCCCATATCATCTGGAGAAAGGTATTTTGAGTAGACGGGGGCCCCCAGTGTTGCCAACTTAGGGGTTTTCCCCCCAGATTTACGGGGTAAATCGTCCATTTTATTGTGCTAAATGCACAAGTAGCATGTACCTAGTATAACTTTAAAACAGTCAACGCAGTAAAAGTTCCTTCTGGACAAGCCATATTGCTAAGCCAATTCTTTTCCAACTGCTTCTAGCCACCGAATAAATGTAGGTAAACATATCACAGGTTAACTGATTATCCTGACTAATGCCAATTTTTACCATCAATCTCTAATTTTTAAGTGACCCTTTTGAAAACAAAATTCCTGTTAAGTGTTACCATAGGGGTCATTTAAAAATAAGTGAGATGGGATAAAAATTTTAGGGGTCTAAAATTTTTAGGGGTATTTTTAGGGATTTTTTGACTCTTTAAATACATATTTTGAAATTTATAATATTATTATTGTTATTTTTTTAAGATAAATATACCTACAAATGGTAGCCAACAGAGACATTAATATTTATTTCTTGACTTGAAATATTTCATGTATTAAATAATTTATTGGCTACAAATCTCATAATCACGCCTCTGAATGTCCGTTTTTTTAAAGTCACGCTACCCCCGAAAGCGTAACTTTATAAAGCGTCTACTGTAAATATTTTTTAGGGGGAAAACTCAATAATTAAGGTGGTTTTATGGGGTTTTGACACAACTTTAGGAATAAATATTTTTGAGAGTTGGTAACACTGGGGGCCCCCTCGGTCGCAGGGCCCTGGGCACGTGCCTAAAGTGCCCAGTGGGAAAGAGGGGCCTGGGCCCGCGCAGCGTGGCCCCTGTGCTAGGATTGCTGCCCGCGTGCATGTCTCAGAAACTATGCGTCGTACAAAAAAATTGTACAGTCATAATTTGTAGAAAATTGCTTTGCCTACAAATATGTTAGTATAACCACAAAATATAACAGAAGACAAACTCCATACTAAACGCGCTCGAGCCACGCACACATAGACACCGCTCTAGCAAGACTGTCTTGGACGAATGCGAGCGCGACGTGGCGCGACAGACGTTCGCCACACGTTCGCTGTGGTTCGCTTGAGTCACGCGCCGGTCAACCGCCTGTGATATTATTTTGTTTTGCGAAATTGACGAAAATGAGTAAACAGAAAAAGTCGTATTATAATTGTTCGG